AACTATCTCGACTTGTGGTTTGTGGCCTTCAAGTAGCTCCTCACTATCATCTCCAAAGATAGTGTAATTTCTGCCATTTGCACAAAACTATGCACATATTGCATTATTGCCATGACCACTAATTGTTCTACTTAGTTGATTCAGGAATCATCTCTTCTCTAGAATGTGGTCATGATTGCTTGGTACAACCAAGTTTCTTTCCATTCCATTATATGTGTGTGCTTCCATTACACATGTCATCTACTACTCTTTAAGCAAAAGGTGATTGCTTCACACCACATAGTACATACTTAGGCACTGAACAAACTGATGATGCAGAAGAATATTGTCCTCAATTTGCCTCATTTGCTGAGCCCTGGAGGGAACAAGCAGACATATTCAGATGCATATATATCATGGTCATCATCAACCACCCATACAATGCATGCTAATTCTCAGTATTGGATCCCAACTAAGTTGGCACATGATAAAGTAGCTTAGAGGGTTCATTCATGATTCATCCTGCAGGTGCGATACATGATGAATTGCTGATGTGTGTGTGGTGAATTAGTGCATGGCTCTCACTGTCAGTAGTGTCGCTTCTGTCTGTCAGTGTGCACATCGAAATTCAGATGGAACAACGAGTGCCCACTAATTGCATTCTGTATCTGTGTGTGTTCATCCAAAATGGTTGCATGCATCACCACTTTTCTGAAGACTTGTTCTGCTCTAGTACTGCTTTGATATGTGGGACCCCCCTTCATCTTTTACGTATCTTCGATCTTACTTGAAGGAGAATGACATGCATGTGCGTATCTAGTTGGGTTAGGCCCACCTGTCATTGACACATACGTGGCTAGCTAATTGAATTCATAAGATGCCAGATGGAGCTTTAACTAATTAAGAGAGGTTAACATGGGAATTATATTTAACATGCACACGTTATGGTTTACAGAATTTGTAGCTAATGAGAATTTGTGGGTATGCATTATTTGAAAATTAGAAATGTGGAAATAGGTATTATTTTTTTGAAACGAACTACAGATGCAGGCGTTCATATAAACATGCACACACTCACCATATATCTCTATAACTACCTCCGAAGACATGGCAAGATATCTTGAGATTCACGAAGTTACCGAGTACGTTGCTTACAACTGAAAGAATAATTGACCACAAATACAAGCATCCGCGCCAAATCTAAGACTTGAATATGAGTGAACAGATCCCACCAGCAAGAACCTAGCAAGTTGAGCTATGCTCACTTCGTAAAATTGATATTTAGTTTAGTTCAATGTTATACTCTTATGCTTATATAGAAGCTTAGTTGCACTTTGCAACAAATTTCATATAGAATGTATTTTCAGTGTCACAAACATAAGTTGTAAATTTGCGTGGAATATACCTAAGATACGCTTATAAAATCTTTGAACCTTTTCATTTTCAGAAACGAACATTTAACTGAATTATGTATCATCTTCCATCTGTCTAATATACTCCCTCCAGTTTTTAATAGATAAGGGTATTGACATTTTTACACACTTTTGATCATTTGTCTTATTAAATACAAGTATGCTGAAATATAAGTTGGCTTAAATTATATTACCTTTAATGATAAAGCAAAAAAGTATTATTATGTAATTTTTTTTGAATAACATGAATAGACAAACGTACCCATGTCAAAAAGTCAATGTCATCCTCTATTAAAAACGGGTGGTAGTACTTTCACAACCACAACAAGGGAGTGGATTTTAATCCCTCGAGGGGATGTCCCTCGTTGTTTGCATGTCACTTAAATAGTTATGAAAAAATTAAAAATATTTGTGAAGATGTATTAACATGTGATATATCACTCCACAAACATGCAAGTTCAAATTCAATTTCCATATCTCGTAACGAAAAAAACAAATTTGACTATGAATATACATTAACTAGCTGCAGTTTAATTTGTTTTTTTCGTTGCGAGATGTAGAAGTTGAATTTGAACTTGCATGTTTGTGGAGTGATATATCACATGTTAATACATCTTCTTAATTTTTTTCAATTTTTTTCATAATCATTTGAATGACATGCAAATAATGAGGGTTACATTCTGTCGAGGGATCAAAATAGTTTCCCACCACAACAAGCCTATATATAATTAATGTTGGTATATTAGCACTTCTGAAATCAATCAGTTGCAAATAAAGAGAGATTAATGCATGACTCCCAAGTTTAAATGCCCATGAAAATTACGCAGCAAAACTCTGAAAAACTATGCAGGTTATTAGCCTGATAACTAGCTTCAGCCTGTTGTAGCATAATAGGCAGTTTTTTGAGCTTCATTTCCTTTTCATATCTTGAAATCACAGGTCAAGAGGGTGACAAATTATGCAAAAAGGCAGCAGAGACAAAAGAAAACAAGGACATGTACATGCCTCTTACTGAGAGGAAAGGACGCCATTCCTGAAGAAGTTGCATGAACTACATGCTATGCATAATAGTCAATTTTACCTTTTGCTTGAAGATGAGATGAGCACATTCTGTATTTTTCCCCTCTTTTTGTAAGAAAGTTACATTTGCAAATTGTTAGTATATTTTCCCTGGACGGTAGCTCCAGAAATACATCCTTATCCACTGGTGAAAAAAGTTTGCCAAAACTTGCTTGTCACCCAAAGGCCAAATGAAAGAGGCCATGGCTTTTTGTTGCGTGAGGCTTCTCATCTGAACAAAAGGCCTAATAATGTAGAGCACCTTGCACAGAAAGCACATATATATCTCCTTTCACCATGAGTATTATTTTTTTCTTGTTCTTGCCTTTTGATTGTTGATGGCATCGCGAGATTCATCCGATCTTGACCCTCTTCTTGTCCTTTTGTTATTTCAGGGGAGCTTTCTCTCAGTTTTCCATCAAAAAATGCCAAGGTTGAACAATACAGCATCTGATGATTTTCAGTAAAAAAAAATGCCAAGGTTAAAGCTGAAAATTTGCACTTTAACAAACTAAAAGACATATTTTTCTTCTCAATCAAATTAAAAGACATATAGTTTCTCAGAGGCATTCCCAAAACAAGTAAATATAATAATTTAAAATTATCTATACTATTGCAGCAGTTTTTTTTCGGGGAAATATTATTGCAGGAGAAAACGGACAATATGCCACTCTATACGTGGGGTTTCGATGAAATGCCACTCAATAGAATGCACCAAATAAAATGCTACTCAGTACGTTGCCTAACGGATGAAATACCACTTTGAGGAGTTTTAACCATTTTTATGCCCGAAATATACTTTGTTGTGGCTGCGAAGAGATAGGGAGAGGGGAGCACTGGGGGAGGACCGGATGGGCGGCGCTGAAGGCCTCGCTGCGGGAGACGGCGGTGGCGGCGACCAAAGTGGCAGCTGGGACGACGGGGCGGATGGAGGAAGAGGTGATGACAAGGACAAGTTCACTGCGGCGGAGGTGGAGATGGACTCGTCGTCCCCGCCATTGCCCGGCCGCTGCTACTCGCTGCCTAGTCCTCCTTTCCCGTGTCGCCTCCTCTTCCTCCCCTCCCCCGCCGCTGCCGCCTCCGTACGAGCGCGCGGGCAAGCGCACTCGTCGCTCGCCACCCCGTCCTCCTCCCGCATCGTCGCCTCTTCCTCCGCCCCGTCGTCCTGGCCGCCGCTCGCTAACCCGTTCAACACCTTGTCCTCCTTCCCCCGCTGCCGCCGCCTCCTCCCGGAGAGGTCTTCGGCGCCACCCGCCCGGTCCTCCCCCGGTGCTCCCCTCTCCCTCTCTCTTCATTGCCATAGCCAAGGGTATTTCGGACATAAAAATGGTTAAAACTCCTCAAAGTGGTATTTCATCCGGTGGGCAACGTACAGAGTCATTCTATCCGGTGCATTCTATTGAGTGGCATTTCATCGAAACCTCACATATAAAGTGGCATATTGTAGTGGCATATTGTCCGTTTTTTTCACTATTGTAGTAGTTGATCTAGTATTCTGTCTGAACTACATATTTTTTAGTTAAAAAGAATAAATGAAGTTCATATAGGCATTCCCAGAGCAACCACGATTTAGTTTTTTTAAAGAAAAATGTGGGTTTTTTAGTAGTTGATCTAGTTTCGTATAGTATTATCCAACAATTAGCCGGTGTGGGGGCTATGGAACATCCACAAAGAAGTAACCATTGGCCCAAACAAGAGGTTTACAATAGAAGCTGAGTTGTTGGGCCTTTTTATGCAGATGCCGACCCGAGCTGAGAATTCAAATATGAATGTTCAAACACCCTAATTTTGTTCATTCTGATTTAAGCTCTGAACTTTATCTTTTGACGTTCAAGAGTGCACATAGTTGTCTAGCACATTTGGAGGAATGAAACAATGCAGCTGAGAAACATAACAGTATATTGCAATTGTGGCCTCTCTATGAATTACTTCATGAACAGAAGAAACTAAACAGAAAAAAGGTGAATCAATCAAACCTGCATTTTGCAGAACCGATTAGTAGTGAAGATTCTTCACAAATCACAAAACCAGATCAACATATGATTAACTTACAGATTGCTTTTCTTGATTTCACAGATACATTGTGTTGGATAGTATATAAGAAGAGGTATACCGCGTAATATAGGACACGTTGTATTGAGCCTCAGGAGGGCGGTATATATAGGAGTACATGGGGAGGAGATAAGGAAGGATTACAGATATGAAAGGAGTTCACACAAATCAATCCTATCTAATATGACTCTAACTACCATATACTCTAACATCCCCCGCAGTCCAAGCGTGAGCAGCGCGGACACTTGGACTGGAGAAGAAACCGACAAGAGTGCTCAACACGGATGATAGCCCTTTATGCCATTGTCGACGTAGCCTGAAGGAGCCGAGAGAGCCGTGGTCGATGAAGCCGTGCGTAGAGTAGCCGTGGTCGATGTAGCCGAAGTCGGGAAGCTGATGTCGAGTTTGCCGAGCCGCGGGCCACGCATGGGGCGCCGTAGAGTGGTCGTGGACGCACGGGAGGGCGTCGTGGACCAAGGTGCGCAAGGATGCGCTGGAGACGAAGACGGTGACATAATCGCGACAGTCGTTGAGGAAGATGATGCCGAAGAGCCGATGTAGTCGAACCGCGAAGGACGAGACGTCACACAGGGCTTGCCAGACCCCGGGACAACTCGGGACGAACGCGCGCGCCGGTGTTGCCAATACCGCGCGGGCGAGACAGGGGACCACCATGAATCATACGCCAATGTCGGAGGAGACTAGCAGAGAAGACCTCCAAGACGGTCGCGGCGCGAGAACGGCGTAGAGGGAGAATTGCCAGAGTAGCACGCGGTTGTCGGAGAAAGGCGAAGTGTAGTCGAGAAAGATACGACGACGCTGGCGATGAATCATGTTGGACGAAGACGAAGGAGAAGTAGTGGGACCAACGGCCTGGATGGCGACGTCGGTAGCCATGTAGAGGTAGCTGCACCACCGGTCTAGAGTGGCGACAGTGGCAGCTTGGAGATGCGGCGGCGATGCTCAAAGTAGAGGAAGAAGACCCTGAGTGGCTGACGATGACCAGTACGGACGACGAGGTTGTCAATGCGCGAACGGCGATGAAGACGACAAAAGCGGCGAAGCTGCGGTCCGAGAGGACAACATAGCTGCAGCTCCATGTCGATGCAATGGCGAGAAGTCCACCGATGATGTAGCCATGCTGAGGACGGTGTCTCTCAGCACTGCAATAACCAGTGGAGGTGTGGACCACGGGCAGCGGCACTGCGGCCCAAGGGGACGACGCAGCGGCAACCCGAAGCTTGATGGCGTAGATGCGTAGTCGAAGACGATTGGCAGCAAGGTGTCATCGAAGCTGGGCGCTTGAACGGGTGATCAAGCCAATGATGCGCGGGCAAGATGACGAAGTGGAAGCAGAGTCGATGCCGATGTCGAAGACGCACAGATGTCGACGAGGCGGTGGGCGACGCAAACCCGATCACTGATCGGGAAAAAAAATGGATACATAGCAGCAGTAGCAAGCACCATGTGTCGGGAGGCTAGAGCTCTCCATGCAGGCCTTGACCAGGTCAACCAGCCTGTGCACCCATCTTGTCGCTCCCATGTTGTCTCTCTCCTCACTTGCTAACCACGGCAAGATCACAGCAAAGGAGACAGTCAAAAGAACAATAGGCAAGGTAGCAAGAGATCGACTTGACGTAGACGAGCGGATGGGAACGGTGTTGGCATCGTGGAGGAAGACGGCCGGCCGCGGGCGTCCTGGAGGAAGTCGGCCGGCGGCGGAAGCGGAGATCCAAGGCGCCGACCCACGCGGTCGCGGCGGTCGTGCCGGCCTGGTGGGCACAGGCGGCGGTCCAGGCGGAAGAGGAGACGATGGGGACGGCCGGACGGGTCCCCCCGTACCCTGCTGCGTCCAACGACGGCGACGCCAGCCATGCATGCGGGGATCCGTCGGCCACGCCGGCGGCGCGCCGTGGCGGAGCGCGGAGGACGAGGTGCTGGCCGCGACCCAAGACCGGCGGCTACTGTAGTGCTGTGCTGCTTGACGACGACAATGACGAACGGCCTTGGCCGAAGAGATTGATCTCTCTTACGACAAGCACGATGTCGATAGAGAAAAAAAAATCGGTGCCCGCCCCGGGAGCGAGATCGTCTCCCGGGGGAGACGGCAGCGGAAGCGGTGAGCGGCGGCTCTAGGTCGTCCGCTCTGATACCATGTTAGATAGTATATAAGAAGAGGTATACCGCGTAATATAGGACACGTTGTATTGAGCCTTAAGGGGGCGGTATATATAGGAGTACATGGGGAGGAGATAAGGAAGGATTACATACACACAAATCAATACTATCCTAATATGACTCTAACTACCATATACTCTAACACATTGATGGTGATTCAGTCTATAATTCAATTGAAGCCTGAACTAGATCAACATATTACTGCAGCTTGGGCAAACAATGGAACTACAGGACTTGGACTTCTTATTTTTCAACCCTGAAGCGTCAGACCCAACTGAAAAACTGCAAGTCTGAAATCAGACAGATGGCAACTGAAGTTAGTACTTTAGTTCTACAGACTGTTAACATACTCATTATTGAGATTGCAGCCTGAAACTCTTGCTTGCTGACTGACTGCTCATTTTGCAGGGACACACAACTTGCAGGCTTGCAGGATAGTAAGGATCTTGTGCAGGAACTGAACAAAGGATACCTTCAGATTTTCAGAACAGGTCCATGCATTTCACTGAAGTACTATATAAAAGCCCTCATGTGATTACCTAGTCTAGATATGCACAACATCAAACTTTATAACTGTAGAATATATGTTTATTCTGCAAACCCTTGTGTTTAAGCCTTTACAGTCATAAGTTTCTGACAAGAAAATCAGTGGGTACTAATGTTCAAAGAGATGTGGTGAAGTAATGTTCTAGGTGCCTGATGGAAATCATAGATTCACAATGTAAGATTGTAAGATCAATGTGCATTGCATTAAAACCAAACCGATTTAGGAACTAGGGTAGATGGAAGCAGCAGCTTAATTATACCATCTGTGTATGATTACTCAGGGAGACTGGGACACTGAATTGTGTCATCGAGTTTCAGAGTTTCAGAAGTGAAGCTTCACGCTTGTTGCACTGTACACGAAGAAAGTGATGCTCTGTTCTGTTCCCTGGATGACTTATTAGTGATCTTTACTTATTTATTTTTTTTGACGCAGATTTTACTTATTTATTTTGATAGAACTAGAAGAAAATAATTTATATAGTGGCTTGGTTGCAGACTTGCAGTACTCTTCCGTCGTCAAGTTTACTTGTGTTTATATGTTGTTTGAATTTTGAAGCCATTAGTCTTCAATTCTCAAGTTCACTTGCCTGTTTAACTTTAAGCTGAAAATCATTATACAAAGGCACAAAATTGGATTACAAAAGCATGTGGACAGTGGGAACAACACTACTCATAATCAGACACATTAGCAGAATGAACCGCTGTTGCAGAATGAAAAACAGAATTTCTATTAAGAATGAATTTTATTACCATACGAATAAATGAAACATAATGCAGATTTACAGAGAACTAGATAACTAAAATCTTTCCTCTCCATAAAATTCATAATGCCATTATAAAATTCAGTGGCATATATGATATATCATATATCTACTACTAATAGTACTTAGCTACTGCTATTATGATCTATCCACTGAAGGGACGGAATTTCATGAAGTCGCCGACGAAGTTGGCGACGGCGCCCGTGGTGGCGGCGGCCGACACGACGAAGCCGGCGACGGCGAGCGCCCTGAGCCCGATCCACAGTGCGCTGCCGCGCCGCACGCCGCGCTGCGCGATGTACATCTCCGTGGGGAGGTAGACGGTGAGCGGCCAGAAGGAGATGGCACCGAGGAGGCCGACGATGACGCCGAAGAAGGGCAGCGCCATGGCGACCACGGTGGTGAAGCAGACGAACACCGAGCGCCACGCCAGCCGGAACGCGCTGATGGCGAAGGGCCACACCCGGAGCTCGCTGTTGACGAAGCCGCTGTCGGGCCACCGGCGCGACGCCTTGCGCTCGACGAAGGCGAAGACCGGCTGGCAGTACACCTGGTAGGCGCCGATGAGGTGCACGGCGATGGCGACGTTGGCGGCGTCGACGAGCCAGAACGGCTCGAAGAAGCCGAATCCGGTGAGGAGGTTGTCCGGCGCCGCGTTGCCGAACGCCGCGTAGCCCATCCACCCGCACAGCGCGTAGAACACCGACGTCGCCACGATGCTCAGCAGCGACGCCTGCTTCATCACCTTCGCCTCCGACGGCGGCGGCGCCTTGATCGTGTCCTGGATCTCGGTGTACACGTTGGAGAAGGCGAACGCGAAGGCGATGTTGCCCAGCGCCTGCAGCGACCGCCACGCCTTCTGCGTGGCGGTGACGTTGGTGACGCCGGCGATCGTGCCGCGGAACCCGCCGTCGGCGACGGTCTGGGCGATGCCGAGGCCGAGGCCGACGCCGGAGTAGGTGAAGGACATGACGGCGGCGACGATGGACAGCCACCAGATCTCGTGGAAGTCGGGGATCTGCGAGAAGACGATCTCGAAGGCGCCGAAGATGAGCATGTACGGGGTGCTCGAGATGTGGCACGGGACGTTGTGGCCATTGGCGTGGAAGCAGCCCGCCCTCTTGATGGCCTGCATGCTGATGGAGGCGGCGATGGTGTAGCCGACGGCGGTGCCGACGAGGTTGGCGTACTGGATGATGCCGCAGAGCTTGGCGTTGGCGCCGCCGAGGATGGCGCGGACGGCGCCGATGTAGGTGTAGTTGCGGGCGCCGGTCTCCTCGTCGCCGGTGCGGTAGCACTCGGCCTGGAGCGTGGCGGTGAAGTAGGTGACGCCGCCGAACACCACCATCACGGCGGGCCCGCCGACCCACCCGAGCTGCGCCGTCGCCCACGGCAGCGACAGCACCCCGGACCCGATCACGGCGGTGATGATGTGCGCGCTCGCCGTCCAGAACGTGCCGGTGCGGCGCGGCCGCCCGTCGTCGTCGAGCAACGCCGAGTCCGCCTGGTTGCCGGCCTCCAGTGACACCTCGAGCGGCTCGATCTGAACCATGGCGGCGAACAGGAGCGCGTTCCCGGTGTTCTTGGCACGGAAGATGCGATCTCTCTGCTCTCGATGTGGCAATGGCGTGATCAAGATTGAGATGCGTGTGGAGAAGGGAGGCCGCCGGGAGCGCGGTATAAATGGCGGGAGCGGGGAGTCGACTTGCCGCGTTCATATCCGAGGCGGGAACGGAGTTTGAATCGGAGACGGGAGCCTAAACTTCATCCAATCTGGGGGAGATAAAATTTGGCATATTTTAGCTCGGACAGGACGACCTATCCGATTGGGAGTGGGACTCGTTAAAATGCACTCTGTTCTCCGACTCGACAAACACGACAATACTCAAATTTCAATCAACGGTTCAGTTTTTCAGGTCGACCGAATGATTTGCGGATCAAATTTCATTAGGTTGAGAGTTTAAAATCGAATTAAAACTCTCGAAACACTGCTTATCTATTATCCTTATCCTTATCTTTATCCTTACTTTATTATCCTCAAAAACAAAATCTCTGCTTTCAAATTTTTTCGTTCGGACTCCACCCACGCGTCACTCCGAGCATCCCAGCGGACACGTCACGCGCGGCCACACGTGTTGGCAGGAATATACTCCCTCCGTGGCGTGGCTGTTGTAGTTGTAAAGACCAATAAAACCGTTTAAATATCAGTTACGCTGATTAATTCTCTCCGTTCGAAGAGCGACGTTTAGGTAGTTGCGTGGTAGATACGCTAGCATTAACCACCATGCAGCGTGCGCTCGACCTGTACTTTCCGCGCGAATAGCCAGCATGCATGCAGATGCATTTTTGCTAGCGCGCTTTGCTCGCCTGGCATAACGCCATGTATGGATTGTTTTGATTCAAAAATTTGGAAAGCCCCATGCATGCATGCTTGATCAAAAATTTGGATGGCGCCATCAGCAATAAAAAATGAATCGAAAATTTTCACTTGACGCCACTATTTGCCAGCAAAATTTTCTTCTATAAATATGGACAATGCACCACACATTTCTTCCATCTCTCTTCTTCCCTCCCATGGTTCAACGTACGTAATGGCCAGTTTTGATCTAAATCTACCCATCATCAATTGGGACGAAGTTGAGGATTTCGATGGAGATATATCTGATTTGAACTATGACTTCGTTTGGGATTATGACAATGAAGGTGTTCATAGGAGTTTCTTCTCTTGCTTTGTCTTCTTTTTTTTCTTGTGCATGTGTGACTTTATAATTTTGTTTCAACGCACAGATGGTGAAGATGGCAATGGCCGCGGCAGTGGCAACGACGGTGGCTGCGACGGCAGCGACGACGATGGCGGCGGCAGTGGCGGCGGTGGCGACGACGGCGGCGGCGATCAAACCACCGATGGAGCAGTCGATGCAGGTAATACTCGTTCATTTTCTTTTTGTTGCTGTGTCTTTTTGCTGCACGAGTTGAAGGCCTTTGCATGTACACATGCACAGTGCCATGCTTAAGCAAACTAGCCGATGCATGCCAACCATAGTATAGCCTGCATGTTCTCAGCCATCATCCACCATGCATGTGTAGGTATCAATATTAAGAGGAGGAGACACTACCCTCCTGATATGAAATGAGCCATATATGCATTGTGTTTGGAGAGATCGGATCCTGGTATGATGAAGGAGGGAGTGACAAAGTCAGTTGCTACTGATATGGGGGTTCCATGGAGAGTTGTTCAGCGTGTATGGCGACATGGACAAATTGGAGGTGGAATTGAAGCTTTCGAATCGAAGAAGAAGAAGAACTGTGGCCGCAAGAAACTTTCTTTTAACCCTGATGCCATCAAAGATGTACCGCTTAGGCAACGCCGAACACTCCGTGACCTAGCTAAAGCTTTGCATATGTCAAAAACCACATTGTTTAGGCGTTTGAAGGAAGGAAGATTTAGGCGCCATACAAATGCCATAAAGTTCACCTTGACCGAAGATAACATGAAGGCCCGTGTGAAATTTTGTATACAAATGCTTGATAGCCAAAGCATACCGGACGAGCCAACTTTCAAATCTTTGTACAACATTGTGTATATAGATGAGAAATGGTTTTATAGGACAAAGCCGGACGAAAATTATTACTTGTCACTTGATGAACCGAACCCTCGAAGAAATGTGAAGAGCAAAAATTTCATTGATAAGGTTATGTTTCTAGCAGCGAAAGCCCGTCCAAGGTTTGATGAGTATGGCGAATGTACATTTGATGGAAAAATTGGGATTTTTTCCTTCACTTACTGGGAGGCAGCCAAGAGGAGTAGTCGCACTAGGGAGAGGGGTAAGTTGTTTAATTATGTTTAGTTACTCCACATATGACAACTCTACTAATTTTGTTTAATCGCATGATTTAATACAGGAACCAAGGCCATGACATCTGTCACGAGGGACATTATCCAGAACTATCTCATTGAAAAGGTTTTGCCGGCCATCAAACATAAATGGCCTAATGAGGAACGAGGACTTCCAATATTCATTCAACAAGACAATGCGAAGACCCATATTGCAGTTGATGATCCTGCATTTTTAAGTGTTGCACAAGAAGATGGGTGGGATATACGACTTACATGTCAACCACCAAACTGTCCAGATCTTAATGTTTTGGATTTAGGTTTTTATGCAGCATTGTAGTCATTGTTTCAGAAGTCATCTCCATCAAACATCGAAGAAATTGAGACAAATGTGATCAAAGCATATGAAGAATATCCGGCGGATAGATCGAATCATGTGTTTCTTACTCTACAAGGATGCATGAGAGAGATTATGCTTGCAAAAGGAGGGCAGCACTATGCAATCCCGCATATGAAGAAAAGATCATTAGAGAGAAATGGTCAACTTCCAATAAGGTTGCAATGTGATAAGCAAATTTATCTAGATGCGGTAGATTTCATCAATACATAGTTAGGATATTTCTCTTGTAACTTTGCATCGTTCAACAATTAGCAAGAAAAAGAGGAGTATTCATGTTTGTTTTTCTCTGATCTTCACGAAAAAGACATTGCATTAAATTGAATAGAACAATCAAGTGCATACACATTAGCTAAACCATCTAGCAATGACAACAAGCAGCAACATTGGCACCGATTATACCTCTAGTGAATCAGTTGTTTTTTTCCTTGGCGTCAGTCTCCTCTAGTGAATCTGCAACAAATGTGTTGTTGGCCAGTGAGTCAACAACGTACCCAATGTTGTCGGAGTCAGTGAAACGATCGGCGCCGGCCAGTGAGTCAACCACGCTGCCCTCTCGGATTCCGGCGTCCCCTGCCTTCTCTCCGTTGTCACCCTTGCCGTCGTCGGTGTTGCAACAGCGAACGAGCTCTGCTTGCGCTCGCAGCCGCATGCGAAGGGCATGCACACGGAGCGTACGAGCATGAGTGATATCCATCTGCGCCTCCTGCCACATGCGGACGGCGGCGTCGCGGAGCGCTCGGACACGGCCGAGCTCCACTTGAGCACGGCGTCACATGAGCACGGCGTGGAGACGAAGTGATCGCGCGCGGCCGAACTCCACCTGCGCCTGTTGCCGCATGAGTCGTGCAGATGCAATCTTCTCCTTTGTCGTCGCCATCGTTGGCATATGAAGTGTGAGCAGTGTCACAGAGGGGCGGTGTGTGCAGTGAGAGAGAGAGAGGAAGCAGTGAGAGCGAGAGAGAGAGGGGCCAGGAGCTGAGCTTTTTAAAAGCCAAACCGAGTCATCAGTTAATTCTCTGCATGCACCAGTACAGGAGCCGAGGAGTACTCATCAATTCCTGCATGCACCAAGGAGTTGCCGCCCTGTATTATAGAATCCAGTTGAAAAGAAGTTACGCCCTATTTTAAGGAACGGAGGGAGTAACAGTTTAGTGTGCTTTGACCGGGCCCACACGCGATCATGTTTTGGATTAAATCTAAACTGAATTGTCAAATATAGTTTGTTTCATAAAGATAAAATAAAGCTTAGACTCCCTCCTTACCTAAATGTTTGACACCGTTAACTTTTTTAAATATGTTTGACCGTTCGTCTTATTCAAAAACTTTTGTAAAATATGTAAAACTATATATATACTAAAAGTATATTTAACAATAAATCAAATGATAGGAAAAGAATTAATAATTACTTAAATTTTTTGAATAAGACGAACGATCAAACATTTTTAAAAAAGTCAACGGTGTCAAATATTTTGGGATGGAGGGAGTATTTAATAAATTTACATCATTATGTCCAGAGGTGGACCAAAACTTTTTTTTAAGATCCACTATAATCAACGGCATATATTTTTCCTTTAGTTAATACGTTCATTTCTAATAATCCACAAATGCGAATAAATATTTCTCTATATGCGGTTACAAAATCATATGTGGAAAAAACAAAAAACATATGTACAGTGCTTCTTCATGGAAAGAAAACATATGTTACACAAGGTCACCCTTTGCGATTCCAATCTAGGCCGAGTTTAGTTCCAAACTTTCTCTTCAAACTTTCAACTTTTTCATCACATCAAAACTTTTCTACACGGATAAACTTTCAACTTTTCCGTCACATCGTTCTAATTTCAACCAAACTTTAAATTTTGGTGTGAACTAAACACACCCCTAGAGCACACCCCTAGATCAGTTTGTAGCAGAAATCACGGCATCCGACGAGATCTAACCAAAATCGCATCAGAATAAAGCCATTTAGCTCGCTCCTCTCCAGTTTCCGTCAATATTGATCATTTCAACCAATTATCTGATCCATCACTACACTCCTCCATCGTCTTCACCAAACCACAATCACCGCCAGGGACCGGGAGTGGTGAATGTGTTTCCTCTCACTTTCTCTCTCCCTCCCACCCTAGCAAGCTGCCATAGTCTAACTTGCACTTAACATTATGTTCTTATTATTTCAATTTATTTTTATGCTTTTCCGATTTCAGGATAGATGTTCTTCGGTGGTATGAGAAACATTCTGATTGCATTATTTTTACGATAAAATTATGGCATTATTTTTACGATAAAATTATGATTTGCATGACTACACCTAAGATTGCCCAATGCATATAAAATAAAACTTTAATCTTATGATGTTCATCATAAATTTAATTTTTCTCGTAGCAACGCACATGTATTTTTTTTCCGGTCTACTTTAAAAACGAAATCTGGTTCCAGCAGAACTTTCGTTTGTCCATCGTTGCTTGCATCATCGTGGCATCCTCCCATGCTGCGCACTAGCGTGCGCTCGTCCATCATTGGGAGTCAGAGTCAGGTACCCGCACAACAACGATCCCAACAAGCGATCGATCGCGGTAGCAACCTCAATTCCGCCGGTCTATCCGTTGTCCGCCTTTCGCGCGTGTCAGGGTCCTGCATGAGAATCTTTGATGGGACTTTTGTCTATGGCATTCGCGTTTCACGTCTACCACAGAGTCTTCAAGCAAGCGGGGTTCGAGCGAGCTGGGCCAAAATTTTATATAGGCCGAGTTTAGTTTCAAATTTTTTTTTCAAACTTTCAATTTTTCCATCACATCAACACACACATAAACAAATGCTAGCTCAGCTGCTGGTCACTCGCCCTTCTTCTCGATCCGGTGTGCTCGAGCTCTCTCCTTCTCTTTCTCTGAAGGACTCGTCGCCTCCGCTGCCGGCCAACCGGATCTGTAGGTGAGAGAGCTGTATATCCAACGTCAGCCAGTTGATTCTCCATCTAACACTTTCCTCTGTCATTATTGCCGCCGGCGTGGTACGGTGCAGATCGATCAACTTAATTATTGCCTCCGATCAGGCGCAAAGATCCGCGCGCTGCAGGCCGGCCGACTGCGAGTGAGCGAGGGGATTGAGGAGAGCTGCGTCGATCAACTTCTACTATTGGCCTGGTAATTAACCACGTTCTGCCAGGGGCGGAGGCAGAAAGTAGCATGAGTGGGGGCCAATGATCTACCGCTTAGGTAGACTAACAAGTAAAAAGTGTAGGGGGCATTTGCCCCCATTCACTGCAAAATTGAGTGGGGGCTATTTGATTTGCAGGTTTCATAAATTCATGATTTCCACTGTTCTACTCAAGTGATTGGTTCATACATCCATGCATCTTGGCAAAAATCAGGTGTATACAACTCAAAGCTTCAAAATCAATATTAATTATGACTTGTTTATATATTTCTTGCATTAGTATTATATCTTTTTTCCGTATGTGTCTTTAATATCTTCCGTAACACTGAATTATTTACTTAATTAGTAGTGCAATAGTAATAGCAATACTCGATTTATGGTTTAAAGACTTTGTATTATTTTTCTCCTCAAGCTGATCACGTCTAATTTTAAGTTGAATAGGTATTTGGTGGCTTTTCCTCTTTTTCCTGGCTTGTACTTTTGTTACCATTTCGCCTATTCTTTAATGTACTGATGCATAAGCCTTTTGTCTATTCAAGAAAATGAGTTTTTTCCCGCCTCAAACTTATATGTAAGTTTGGCCTTGTGCCACTACTATACGTATACGTACTAGGAAAACGGCTTTAATTTTTGCATTTGTATACTTACTTTTTATAATTTGGCAATTTCCATCCTCACCACTGCAAGTATGAGATAAACTATGCTCGTTCTATGCCCCCAAATGGTTAAGCATCATCCGTACCCCTTTAATGATTCACAACTATAAAATCTAAAAATAAAATGAAACATTTCATGATAAGATAAACATTTCCAAATTTAGAGAGAGTTTATTGCATTTGTAAAGAAAAATATATGCCATTATTTTAATTTTAACTAACTTTGTTTAACTTCTTATTTCAGTCTATAGGGAATGATGGTGAATGCATTAAGCATCATTGGATTTGCACTATTAGTAGGGTTTACCATAGGATTATCTACAGATCTTTGGTATTTTCAGTGTGAAGGCAAGAATTTTGCATCCAAAATCATATACAGAAGAAACTTAGATTTCTTAGACACTGCCACGTAACTCGCGGGTCATGGCTAAGTCAAGGAAAGAGAAAATTTATGCTATTACACAGTGTCGAGGAGACACTAATACTAATACCTGCAAGAGATGTGTTTCTGAGGCAGTACGGGATGTGCAGGTGGTATGTGATTCAAGGGTTGAGGCTAGCGTTTATTATAACTTTTGCAGCCTTAGAGTTTCTAGTGAAAATGTTCAATTCAATATTTTACATGACATGAACATGTTAGCTATACTTGGCAACCAATCTCATGTCACTCATAACCGAGTTTCTAGTGAAAATGTTTAATTTAATATTTTACATGACATGGACATGTTAGCTATACTTCATGGTTATAAAAAAATTTAAAAAAATTAAAAAGATGTATTAACATGTGATATATCACTTTACAAATATACAAGTTCAAATTCAACTTCTACGCCTCGCAACAAAAAAAAATTGACTGTGAATATCGTTAACTAGTTGTAGTTTAATTTGAAATTGACTGTGAATATCGTTAACTAGTTGTAGTTTAATTTGTTTTTTTCGTTGCGAGATGTAGAAGTTGAATTTGAACTTGCATGTTTGTAAAGTGATATATCACATACTAATATATCTTCTCAATTGTTTTCCATTTTTTTTCATAACTATTTGGGTGACATACAAACAACGAGGGGATATCCCCTCGAGGGATGAAAATCCACTCCCAACTTGCACTTAACATTATGTTCTTATTATTTCAATTTGTTTTTATGCTTTTCCGATTTCAGGATATGATGTTATTCGGTGGTGTGAGAAACATTATGATTGTATTATTTTTATGATAAAATTATGACCTGCATGACTACACCTAAGATTACTCAATGCATATAAAATAAAACTTTAATCTTATGATGTTCATCATAAATTTAATTTTTCCTGTAGCAATGCACTTGTATTTTTTTCCAAGTCTACTTTAAAAACGAAATCTGATTCCAGCGGAACTTTCGTTTGTCCATCGTTGCTTGCATCATCGTGGCATCCTCCCATGCTGCGCACTAGCGTGCGCTCGTCCATCATTGGGAGTCGGAGTCAGGTACCCGCACAACAACGATCCCAACAAGCGATCGATCGCGGTAGCAACCTCAATTCCGCCGGTCTATCCGTTGTCCGCCTTTCGCGCGTGTCAGGGTCCTGCATGAGAATCTTTGATGGGACTTTTGTCTACGGCATTCGCGTTTCGCGTCTACCACAGAGTCATTAAGCAAGTGGGGTTCGAGCGAGCTGGGCCAAAATTTTATATAGGCCGAGTTTAGTTCTAAATTTTTTCTTCAAACTTTCAACTTTTCTATTACATCAAAACTTTTCTACACACATAAACTTCCAATTTTTCCGTCACATCGTTCCAATTTCAATCAAACTTTTAGTTTTGACGTGAACTAACACACCCATAGATAGGATTCCAAGCAGACGATCAGCTAACACTAATCAGACTATGCATACATAGTCACATGCGAATGCACATGTACAGATTGGTTTCTGCCCAATCCAGTGCATGCAACATTGCAACACGAGGATTGATAAGTAAGAGCACACAAGATTCAAGTATCCAACCAGGAGACTGCAGGCTTCATCTTAGGAACTGTTTAGTTGGTGAAATGAAAATTTTTGGGTGTCACATCGGACGTTTGACTGGATGTCGGAAAGGGTTTTCGGACACGAATGAAAAAACTAATTTCATAACTCGCTTGGAAACCGCGAGACGAATCTTTTGAGCCTAATTAAGCCGTTATTAGTACATGTAGGTTACTGTAGCACTTATGGCTAATCATAGACTAATTAGGCTCAAAAGATTCGTCTCGCGATTTATATACAAACTGTGTAAATAGTTTTTCTTTTTATCTATATTTAATGCTCCATACATATGTCTAAAGATTCGATGTGATGTTTTTGCAAAAAGTTTTTGGGAACTAAACAGGGCCTTAGTCCAATACACGAAGGTAATGGGAACTGGAGTGGAGTAGGAGTAAATCTGGTTCATCTCAAAAGCTTTTATATGTCGTGTTTGAATTTACTGTTGACACAATTTGTAATTTTTGGCGCCCATGCTTGTTTGGTGTAATAGTTGTAATTTTCGGCGTCCATGCTTGTTTGAAGTTACCTAAAGAGCATTAAATGCTTATTTGATAGAATCTACGTGATTTTAGAAACATTATTTTAGTAGATCATATTATTGGCAGAAGTTGGGGGTTTGTCCCATCTCACCTTTTTAAAGCTCTTTTCTGTTCACTTCTGGACTTTTTGGCTATGTGCCTACGGGTAGAGGCCGGAGATGTAACCCATTTCCATTATCTAAAAAAAAATGCTTGCTTGGCATTTTCACCACTTATGCTCATTTAATGCACTGTGAATATTCTATCCATCTCTCTTGCCTCAATCATAATTTGCATGTTTTATTAGGGGTATTTTAGTCATTCATATTCTCTCTTGGTATGTGAGATGTGTACTATAACTGCATTTAAAATAGGATGGAGGAAGTAAGTAACATAAGTTTTATAGCTGATTTACTTACTTATATATGTACCATCACGTACACTGCCACCAATCCAGGGCCACCAACGTGGTCTTGCTGCCGAGGAGCGTGGCCGCAAAATCCCACCAATGGTTGATCACATGCCTAGCTATGACCATGTGTGTTAGCTACTCCCTCCGTCCCACAATATCTCAAACCCTAGAATCCCAAGGGAATTTTAGGACAGGTGGCAAAAGACTAAAATACCCTCAGTGAAAGTACATGCAATCATTGGAGACAAATAAAATAGTAGTACTACTCAGCCACCAAGTTGGATAAGCATATTTCTGATGCTGCCATTAAGTGCTCAATATACAAATAATACACAGCAACCAGTGCGCCAAATATTTTGAAACTCAGCATTGCTTCATTGGCGTCAAGCATTACAAATTTCAGCACACACCACTACAACAACCCTATATAAGTTTGAAATGAACCTCAATAGCAGGTTTCCCTCCCACTGAATCACTGCATGAGTCTTCAAAATCACCTGCATGGCTCTTGATCTAAACAAGCCAATAGATGAGGCAGATGAACAGGCTTTGCCTGACGTCAATGACGAAATTGCTGAAGTTGAAATCCATCTTGGTCAGGAGGAGGATCAACTTGGAGGTGATGTCCAGGGAGGTGACAACCATGTGCTTCCTTTTGATCTCAATATTGATGCACCTGGCCCTCAAGTGCTTCCTTTTGATCTCAATATTGATGCACCTGGCCATCAAGGAGAAATGAATCTAGGTAACTTTGCAAGCATTAATATGAAATGATTAACATTTGTAGCACTGACTAGCATAAATAACTCAGAATCTTTGCTAGTTCTCTGAAAAGATGATCAGTAACATGTGCCTTGATGCAATCGCTATGGTTTTGGAACAAAATCAATCTTTGATAAGTATGAGGAAATTGTTAGGACTTGATTCTATCAATGAGTTGGCCCTAATGAAGTTAATTCCCCTTCCATAATATCACAGGTTATACATTTAGCTAGCTGAACTAATGCAATACTTATCTCCTGTTATAATGCTTATCTAATGTCTAGAATCAATCCTGATATGCTACATACTAAACAGGACAAATCAGAAATCAAGACCGGTGTTTAAAATCTGTGCACTAGACTCCCTCTACTGAAAAACATGGTTGAGGGTAGAATAATAAAATTGCTACACAGAAAAACTAAATTTCATATGGGTATATAGTTGGTACCTTGATTGTGGTTATTTGATCTCATAATCTCCTGTGTTGATGTTGTACAGCATAAAGGAACATATATTAATCATTGGTTCCATTAGTTATGTAACATAATAGATTAGTTAGTAATAAAAGTATTTTGGATATATTGGAAAAAAAGTATAAACATTATTCTTTTAGTCACACACATCCAGTAAGGCAAATATGCCATGGCATGTCAAATATCAAGTATCACCAGCAGCGAACAGGGCACATAATCATGTTTTCTACAACATGGCAGCCTTTGTATTACTTACTATATCTATTTGCACGCATAGAATGGATGAACTAAATCATTCAGTTATATATAGAGAAACAGAGATGATCACTAAGTGGACATTTCATAGGTCTATCTGGAATAGATGATACTTTGCAAATTGAACACATACCACTTCAGTATTGAATCATGGGTAAAAAGGATTGTGCTTGCAAAAAATATTGCTATTTGACATGGTACTAACTACTGACCGTGGTAATTGTTATTGTAGACAATGGCGATGCAATGGATCAAGTTCTGCAACTTTATGGAGGTCACATCCATAATGCCTTTCCTTTTGATATCAACTCTGATGCCTTCGAGGAACACCTACAAATGCAAGCAGGTACTATTATTACATCATGCCAACTACCTAGAATAATTCAGCAATGCCATTGGCTGCATTAGTTGCATCAATAGTTAAGGATTATAAATTGGATATTTCAGCACATAGTAAATCACAACGAATGATGGGATTAAGGATTATAAATATGCTAATATGTTGTATTTACATAGATTTTTCATGTTAATTGGCTCACAGCCATAGCAATCTCAAAGAAAGCACATACAGTAAATTGTGCCAATGTTTCTCTGCCTTCTAAATGATATGTATGGTTAAATCATATTATAAAGTAAACCACATGGTGAGCCTAACAAGTTGTGCAAGAACTTTATTATCAACATGAGCACTTAATATGGAGATCACATTTCCAGTTTTGCCTACTACGATTGTTCAGTACACATCAAATTATATAATGCATGGTCATGTATAAAAAGTATATGCATGTTGTATCAGCCATAATTTTGCAAGCATGTTCATCCATGACGATAAAAAATCCACCATCTAAATTAGTGCAGACAACTCACCTGGAAATTATTGTTGTAGACATGCAGGAGTACGGTTTGTATGCCGGTGATGTGGACATTGTTTTTAAACACGAGGAGTTGGATGATTCAGATCAGGAAGATGAACAGCCATACAAAAATCTGACCAATATACAAAGGCAACATATATATATATATAGCATTGGTTGGGAAAACTACCAACAGAATCCTAAGGAAAAAGGCTACCACTGAAGTTGCAGAAATGTTTAATGTGAAAAGAGCTAGAGTGCAAGATATTTGGAGAAGAGCGAAGCAATGTCGTGCCCAAGGAATACCAATCGATGTAAGCTCTAGAAAGAAAAAAAATTCTGGTCGCAAAAAGAATGAAATCAACCTATCAGATATTGCTAATGTTCCCTTGCAACTAAGGGGCACTTTACGGTCATTTGCATCAGCCGCAGGTGTACCAAAGAGCACGCTGCATAGGATGTTGAAAGAAGGGATACTAAGACGTCACTCGAACACATTAAAGCCATTGTTGAAGGAAGAGAACAAACGATCAAGGCTGCGATGGTGTCTTTCCATGTTAGATTGGCATACTTTGCCAAATGAACCCAAGTTTGTTGATATGCGCAATATTGTGCACATCGATGAAAATTGGTTCAATACCACTAAGAAGACAAGAAATTTTTACATGGTCCATTGGGAGGATGATCCATACAGACCTGTGCAAAACAAGAATTCTATTGATAAAGTGATGTTCTTGGCAGCAGTGGCTAGGCCTAGATACAATGAAGAAGGTATTTGCACTTTTGACGGCAAGATAGGCTTGTGGCCTTTCACCAAAAAGGTATCATAACATCTTCATATATGCATTTTTAATTACTGACGGCAAGATAGGTTTGTGATGCAAAACTTAATTGTTAATCTAACTTACATAATTTACTATTTAGGAACCAGCACAAAGGGCAAGCCAAAATAGGCCAAGAGGGACTCTTGTCACCAAGACAATCAAGGTTGATTGAGATACTGTCAGATCATTTCTAATTGCTAAAGTCCTACCAGCTATTATATCAAGTTGGCCTCGAGAAGAGCGACACAACACTATATGGATTCAGCAAGATAATGCTCCCTCTCATGTGCCGGTGGATGATCCTCAATTTGCCTATGCAGTATCTCAAACAGGGTTTGACATCCACCTTATGTATCAGCCTCCTAATTCCCCAGATATGAATGCACTAGATCTTGGGTTCTTTGCATCTCTGCAATCATTAACATATAGAAGGATATCGAGCAGGAATTTCAGGCTTATGATGACAACAAGCTGAATAGGGTTTTCCTAACTCTACAATCTTGCTTGTTAGAGGTTATGGAAGTTGATGGTGGAAATGGATACAGGATTCCTCATATGGGTAAAGAGAGGCTAGAGCTTCTAGACATTCTCCCTAATACCCTTAGTTGTGGTCGTCAGCTATATGACAAGGTCAGAACAGCATTATCCAACCAAGTGCAGTAAATCATGCAACATGAGAAGCTCTATCATGGTTTCAGCTTTTGGTTAAATGTCAGGTTGTATATATGGTAAAGTAAGATCAGTATTACGCAAGTAAATGCAACAAATCATGTAATATAGGAAGTTTTATGGTGGTTTCAGCTTTTGGAATATGTAATATAAAGTTTTATGATGGTTTGAACTTTTGGACTATGTAATATAGGAAGTTTTATGATGGTTTCAGCTTTTGGCTTAATTTTAGATTGTACATAAGACATTGTAATATCAGCATTAGAGTAAATCATGGTGCAAACGTCTCCTTAATTTCAGTCACCACCATAAACCATCATAATTTGAAATATTTCGATACATTACCATCATAACCACCTAATATCATCTACTACCATAATTACACATGCTTTCATACAATACCAAAAGTGTGCCTACTTTGACAGACTGTCAAGGCTTCTATTCATAACCACCTAATCTTATCTAATACCATATTTACACATAATTTCATACAATACCAAAAGGGTACTTATCGAGTTGCTTTGTGAGGCCACCATTCATAACCACCAAACCAGCACACAAACATCACATAATTGAAGCATTCATCTAAATTTTGCACTCTTAAAACACTCCAGAAATTTCTTTACCGATTTTTCCAATGCATCTTGGTCTTGCAGGAGGTCTTCTAGGCCACTATCATCATATGGATCTTGCGTATATCCCCCAATGACCATGTCTTCATCATCGTCGCTTGACTTCACCTCCTCGCTGTTCCCCTCCTCGCTGCTCACATCCTTAGCTTTTCCCCTCATCTCCTCGATGCCGATTTGCTTGACGCTTGCCTTCTTCTCAAACAGTGCCGTGTGGTCGCTATCGTCAACCAACATTGTCCTGAAAAGGATAAAACAATAGCATTTGTAAACAAGTCACAACAAAATAACCACTTTTTTTAACAATATAATTACTGAAGATATGCGAGAAGATGAAATTGAAATTTCTCTTGAAAAATATCACATTTCTGCCATATATTTATATTTATATCGATGTAATTGTTGAAACAAAATAATCATTGTTCTCAAATAAGAAAACCTTGATTAATCATTACTGTTTAAAGAAATTAATTAGGTTGACAACTTGGTAAGTGGGTTAGGAATCAATCAGATATGCTGCATCTATCTATATTCAACTTATTTAGGCAAAGCGCAAACAAACAATATCGATACGTGACATAAGTCCTCATCTATTGCTGTCACTTGCTGTCAATTAGAATGAGCTGGCTACTGTGGTTGAGAGGAAGAATATGCATGCAGGTTGAAGACAAAAAGAATATGCATGCAGCTTTCGCCCAAGAAGAAAATATGCCATTGGACCCAATCGAGTACTTAACGAAAAAAAACACTGTCTGTCTCAAAACATAAAAAACACACTGTATATCCTTTTCTTTTGTGCCATAAAGCAGCAACCAGTCTATTAACACACACCGCCGAATGGTAATCATTCATCCATGAGTTTAGTTAAGTGCTTCAAGATTTTGTAGGCTCTGTAATTTGAAGGATCACATTTCAATCACCTAGAAATCACTTTGGGCTTTTAATTAGCTGATTAATTGGGTAAGTCTTGTGTTGCTAGCTACGGAGTAGATTTCTTTTGTTAGTTTAGTTTTGTGCTAATGACTTGGAGATGCAGGACACTGCGTAGCTATCTTACGCACAGAGGAATATGAGATCTGCTTAGTATATTTTAGGATGGAATAGGCTGAGAGGCATTGGAGCCAGGGAGATCGAGTGGGAGATGTACCTTTGAGTCAATCGACGCATACCGCCGCCAAAGACCCTAGTTGTTGATGCCGGAATTAGAATAAGAGGCTGGTCAGCCTCGTCCTCCACTGCCCCCTCCTTTATCAGATCCGCGGGCGCCGCCACCTCCTTGAGCATTACATCAGCTGCCTTGCAAACCTCCGACGCCGCCGCTGCATCCCAACAGCCTCCACCCACCGCCGCCGCCTTCTTGCAAACCTCCGCCGCCGCCGCCGCATCCCAACTGCCTCCACCCACCACCGCCGCCGCCGCCGCATCCCAACTGCCTCCACCCACCGCCGCCGCCGCCTTCTTGCAAACCTCCTCCGCCGCCGCCGCATCCCAACTGCCTCCACCCACCGCAGTCGCCGCCGCCACCGCCTTTTGGATCACAACCGCAAGCCGACATGCCTCCTCCGCCTTGGCTCGTGTCTCTTGAATCAAAACCCTAAAATTTTCCGCCGCTTCCATGAACGGCGCTATCGAGCCAAACACTTCCACCGCAGCCATCTCCGGCATCCGATCTAACTACTCGTAACCCTCCCCCGCCGCATCTGAGTGGAAGCAACTAGTTGGACGGGGAACTTGGCAGGGAGATGTGGGAGCCTGGCGGAGCAGCGTGGAGCAAGGAGGGACGTGCGGGGAGGAGCGGGAGTAAGGTAGGGAGGGAGTTGGAAGCTTGCTAGGGTCGGTCATCTGGACGCCGCCGCGTCGATGCCTTCGATCCAGAGGGGTGAGGGGCGATGGGGAGGAACGGGAGGGAGAAAAACGCGAGAGGGGGAGAGAGAAGCATACGAGTAGTATGCGGCTGGGAGGAGATAAGGTTCCGGGAGGAGAGAGGAGTATTTTGGGGAAGTCGCCACTCACCACCCACCTGTCCCCACACATGATACGGATAGAGAGGTCACGCGGTTTTCTGTGCAGGAATCGATTTTTTTCGGGACAAAGCCCTCCCTCCAGGAATCGAGATATTGTGGGACGGAGGGAGTAGTTATTAGTCATGTAGCCCACGTTTTATCCCAGTTATCAGCTCTTTCGAATTTGAGCCCACCAATGGTTTTATCCCACGTTTCAAACTTAACAAAACCAAGGCTGTGTTTAGGCCCTGTTTAGATTCCAATTTTTTTCTTCAAACTTTCAACTTTTCGATCACATTGAACTTTTCTACAAACACAAATTTCCAACTTTTCCATCATATCGTTTTCATTTCTTCAAACTTCTAATTTTAGTGTGGAACTAAACACAACCTTAGTTCCATGCAAAAATTGAAAGTTTGAAAAAATTAGAACGATGTGACGGAAAAGTTGAAAGTTTGTGTGTAGGAAAGTTCGATGTGACGGAAAAGTTGGAAGTTTGAAGGAAAAAAAGTTGGAATCTAAACATGTCTCAAATCTCGTTCAACTGGAGGTAGAAGCTTCGAGATCTTCAGTTTGTAATCTAATCTAATGCCGTTGTACGTAACGCACGGACACCTTCCTAGCAAAATCTAAAATTTGATGAGGGAGAGGAGAAGGCGTGTCAATGCTGTCGTCCCAGGGTGCCCAGCTAGCAGCTACCATTGGCTCGGTGTGCCCAAGTGATGGGGAAGTGGTAGGGGTCAGCCCAACCAACATTCCGACGGTGTCAACCCCTTTTGACCTGCAGGTGGGACCACCGCAAACATTCCGAGTATTGTACGTTTTGTACTCGAAAACTCCACTCTGTTCTCCAAATGGAAAGCATAACTAGTATCAAATTTCAATGTACATTTTGAATCGAATAAGTAAAAACTCTAGACAAAAACGCTCTCTCAGGCGGTCGTGCTAGTCCGCCAACCAGCACTGCCTGCGCCGCCCACGCGTCGAACACCTCCTCCCTGTCCCTGAACCGTATCCTCCGGAGCCGGTTGGTTGTTCCGTCTGCCGGGTGGCGACGGCGCCAGCGTGAGCAGCATCCCAGCCACCCACTCGGCCTGCAGCTGCGCCGGCGCCGCCGCGACGCGCCAGCGCGTGGTTCCCACCTTCACGAGCAATCAAGATCTTGGTGAAGTCCCTGGTGACGTCGATGGAAGCACACATGCATCTGCCTCTGCTTTGCTCTGCTCTGCTCGTGGGCTCGCTAGGTTGGGGGAAAAAGACGAGGTGGATTGAAATCCAGTTCCAATGCGGATAAGAAAATTCAGTTAAAAGTTCAAACGAGGTGGTTTGATATTCTGCTTCAGCACGCACTGAACGCAGGCTGAGTGTAAGTGGATAAGAAAATTTTTGTTATGCCATATTGCCATGGCGAAAATTCACAATATGTATTAGAAGAATAATACATTGAAGATCTAAAAGATAATAAAACAAACATAATACATCAAATTTAGAAAGTTTTGCTACTACCTCAAAGAAAACAAACTTCAGGAAAAAAAAAAGTTTTGCCATAATGTCTTGGGCGATGACTTAATGTCAAGTTTTTACTCACAAACATCACAAAAGATTTCGGGCGAGGACTTAAAGTCAGGAAGGTTTTTATTCAGGTGGGTGCAAATGCAACAATATATTCAGTGCTGTGGATGATCCCAAATGAAATATCGGAGTTCAGATACATCAGACAGCCAAAACCAACACAAGCAAGTAGCTAGGAATACACTTGTTTGGAGTTCCATCTTCAGAATTTCAGATATTTGCACTAGAATTGCAGAACCAACAACCATCAAACACACAAGATTCGTTTGAGTTGCTATGTAATTTCCCTGGTTTTCTTATAATTCGAAGAGGGGATTTTGATCAATCTTCTCTATTTACAAGAGAACATTACTGTACATATTCTTAGCATTTACACCGCACAAATTCGTGCAAACCATGTTGATCACAACCTGGGATTAGTAGATTACATGACTGAAACCTGCAGCTAAGCTAGCAGCTATCCCGGCGGCGATCTCGCTGCCTCATGGCTGGCCGCGTCCCAGCGGCTACGACTCTGAGAAACGACACCCCGCCGACGATTCCTCCCACGTAAGTGGAGAACGGAACATGGACGGCCCCACCTAGGAAGAATCCTCAAGCGCCCGAATTATGTTCTCTACACAAGAGATTAGAGTCGACAAGGATGCCACCCAGAAACCGAGATCTTGGTGTCCTGTACATAAGACATCCAAGCATACTCTCGAAGATTGCCTGGTGATACTCCATGTGAAGGCTGAACTCTACGCCTGCTGGGAACGTGGAATTCAGCATACTTCACCAACGGGTGCTATTTACTGTCTGATTTACAAGTCCAGATCTCACGATCTTACAAGCTGCAAGATCTTCCTCAGGACCTTCAAACTGCCGCATCATTGTGTCCAATAACCACGAGTTCAAGCTCCGTGTGTTGCCAAGGAATGAGATGTAGTGCCGACTTCAGATCGGTTCGTGGGATACGTTGGCACTAACCCAAACGAGCCATCTGTGCTAAACGTGTTGGAAGACTACGAATCCTCTTCGGAGCCACCACGAGATGTGAACGTGGTCGACACCACTGAGATGGGCTGATATGTGGGCCCAATAGTTTTTATTTTTTCCGGATCAGATTGCTACGTCAGCGCCACATCAACGTTATGTAAATGCCACATAGGACGAATACCTAGTCAAAGGAGCCACATAGGCGCCCCATCAGCTAAAACTGGGGACCATACTGCCGAGAGAGCTAATTTGCAATGATTTTGTAAGTTGGGGATGCGTATCTAGTTTTATGGTTTGAGGATGATTTTGTAATTCGGTAACAAGATGAGGGACCTCTGGTGTACTTTTTCCATGCTATATACTCCCAACTCCCAAGTAGCATTAGCATTACCGAGAATGGCCCAGACAGGTTTTTACGGTGCTTTAACAAAGGTAGTTGCTATTGAACATAAATGCAACAAAAGCTAGGGTTTTTTCGTGACCGACATGGTTTTGGGCTGGCCCATATCACATCTTGGGCCCAAATTTCTGTCACGAGACAACCATAGTTTAATTTGTGTCCACAAGACAAATATGGTGCTAACCAACCACGAAAATCATGCATATTTGTAGCACTCAAATATCGACCAGTACAGTTGTTGATCCACTGGCTGCGGTTTAATTTTTGTTTGACCGTTGATATACGATGCACAACCAGATGTCGGAGGAGGTTTTCGGACACGAATAAAAAAACTAATTTTATAACTCGTCTGGAAACCACGAGATGAATCTTCTAAGCCTAATTAAACCATTATTAGCACATGCAGGTTACTGTAGCACTTATGGCTAATCATGGACTAATTAGGCGCAAAAGATTCGTCTCGCGATTTCTATGCAAACTGTGCAATTAGTTTTTGTTTTTATCTATATTTAATGCTCCATGTATATGTTAAAGATTTGATGTGATGTTTTTAGAAAAAAAAAATTGGGAAGTAAACCAGGCCGAAGTGAGTGCAGATGCACGCATGCAACCATGGCAGCTAGCAGAGGCACCTGCAGCAGCTAAGCTAGGTTTCCCTAGATAGCCCGCCTGCATGAGCAAAGCTGCGTACGTATGCAATGGCATTTTCTTGCAAGCTTTGGCCAGGTTGGGTACGTCTCCATCTGCAAGTATTTTCGTTCATGTTATATTTGGGTCCTTTTTGCTTTTCTTTTATTTTTTTATTTTAAGAAATATTCACCTAGCATAAAATAAATTTTTTTAATTAATTAGACTAGGGTTCAAGAATACATAAATTAATTAGACTAGTTAAGTTATTACTCCCTCCATTTTTTTTGTTTGATGTTAGTTAGCTCAAAATTGAACTAACTAACGTCATACATTTGTGCAAAGAGGTAGTAATTTGTTAGAGTGAACTAGCTAGTTATTACACGATTGACACGGGGGCCTTGGCCCCCAGTCCCACTCGGTGTAAAATTGTTAAAATTGTTGTTTAGTGACTCATATTAAAAGAACATCTTGGTTTTAATTTAAAACATTATAATGATCTTTATAGAGAGAGAAAAAAAATATTGCAAGATGTTCAAAAAACATTAACAGTGTTTCAAGAAACAAGTCATATTAGGGTTGAGATAATTTTTCTACATAAACATGGCCAGTTGTAATCCTTTACCATTAGCATTCTATGAAACAACATATGAATACATTATTTCCCTTACTCCATTGTCTGTTAAAAAATATTTGATTTATGACAAAGAAGTATTTGCATTTATATTTGTGTATCGTTATTGTTTCCAGACATTTGAAAAAACAAGTCTTATATTGTATTTGTATACTAATTTTTTATGATTTTGGCAATGCACCCGAACCACTACGTACAAGTATGAATAAACATGTCCTTTCTGTGCCCCCACTCAGTTATAATCATCATTTTTACATCCACTAACAATCCTCAATGGCAAAATTTAGAAATAAGATGGAAATATTTCATGATAAGACAAAATAGTGAATTTATTCTCACAAAAACTTAGAAAAAGTTTATCACACTTTGGAGATGCATGATTTTTGTTGCATGATGGGAAATAAGTACTCATGCTTTATACCTTATTCAGAACCGAGAGAAATCAAGACTGAATGCCACTGTCCAGACTCGGTTTGTTACCAAATCTAGAAGAACAACTTTGATTAAAGACCAGGTTGGCGTAATCTTAGGTGAACTGACCATGGAGGGCTGAAAGCAGAGGGCTAAAAGCAGTTATCAATAGTATAAACACATTTTCTGCAATGGTAAAGCAAACATTAAGACTTGAAAGGCACTATCTCCAACTGGTTATGTTCCTGATACTTTTCAGCATGTTGTTCCCCTAAATTCTGAAGAAGTACATTATTCTCATGCTGAATATTTGGTATCTCCATATGCAAATCCTCAATT